CCTATTGTTCTAAAGTCAGCAAAGCATGTAAATTTATTTTAAATCATTAAATATTATTTTCAGTATAGAACTTTTTCAATTCCCCACTGATTTCAGTTTATCTGTATTGTTTCTGGTCCTGTTTGATCTGGATAAACAGGGTTTGACTGTATAATTAAAATAAAAACTCTATACATATTGAAATTAAGATCTGGTATAAGCCAAGGATTTGGTTAATCTTAAATTAGTAACAAAGTAAGTAACAAAGATCTTGTTTAATCATGGCCTGAAACAAACAAGTAACCAATTATTAATCATTATTAGTCAAATTGCCAGATGGGAGCAACAGCTAAGGTACTCCGTGATTGCTACTCGGAGATATTAGAATTTTGAATTGGTTCCTTAAGAATTTTTCACAGGTGTGCTGGCCAGGATACATTGCATTCTCACTTACAATCCAACTAGCGCACTGTATAAATCTATCTAACTCTCATTTCTCTAATAAATCTATAAATTTAAAATAAAATATTGACAGAAATTAAATTTCATGTAAAAGGACCAGAACTTTTATAAAAAAAAGGGGTTGGTCTTTAATAATCACATTTAAAATTGAAATGTGATTATTAAAGACCAACCCTTTTTTTTTATAAAAGTTCTGGTCCTTCTTTCAGTCAGCCTTGGTGTGATAAGTCCTGCAAATTGTTATACCCTATTTATTGGGTTATTTAAGTCTGTCTAATTTATAGTCGTGGGCAAAAAGCATTGTTTATTGTTAACATAAATGTTGTTATAAATACTGTGATAAGATTTAGCTTAAAAATAACAGTCATAAAGTCATTTGTAAAATTTGGAACAGAAATTTAAAATTATTAATATCAAATTTGAAACAAATGTATTTACATTTTATTATTTTTTGAGCATTGTTTTGTAGATGAGTTTATTGTTAGACAGAAACAACAAGGTTAGAAGTGTAATTACATGAGGCTAGATGAACAAATGCATGATAAGATAGTGGAAATCTGATACTCACAATGTCAAATGAATTGAGGAGATTGCTAGAGAAAGGCACTAGACAAAGCAGCAGAAACTGTATTCATACTAAAAGCTACAGATTTACAGATAGAAGATATGAAGAATAAGATGGTAAAATTCAGCGAGTTCTCAATCCAAAGATTTAAAACTCAGCAAAGTCTGTTACCAATGTGGAAAAATAGATCATCTCAGGAAAACAAGTTTGTATAGCACATAACAGACTATTTCATATGTAGTCAGATGGGTCATTTTGGCAAAGTGACCAATCTGGCTACATCTGTACAAGTGACAGCAGATGTAGGAGATATAGGAGGGTGTGCAAGGGCATAGCAGTACCCTCTTCTAGGGTTGGTTATTCTTCAGTAATATATTATTTCTTTGGCTCTTCATAAATGCAAATTAAAATGTAAGAAAGTGCATTGTCTTTCTTTTGCAAAAAACTCAATTAACATCATAGTAAATTTTCTTTCGCTTTGTTTTCACAATGGCAATTCCAGACAGGATAACTGTAGGTTATTGGGGACAACTTTTAATATCTGTTCAGAGACACTGTTAACATTCTTTTCTTTCATGCAAGAATGATTCATCTAAATATCACTTACGGTAGCTGTTATTACGTTCTATGAATGTATGTCTCTTTAATTCGAATGAGTATTAAGTTTGGTAGACTATCATTACAGCTTTCAGGTTAGACACTTCTTTTTAATGATAGTCTACCGAACTTAATACTCATTTGGATTAGAGAGACATGCATTCATAGAAGAATGATTCAATATAAACAACCAATACTGTTGTTTATATAAAAGCATTACTTTGTCTCTCTATTTGCCAAAAACTGTGGAGCTGAAAATCCACATTTGAATTATATATGTATATTTTTATTTTTGAGTTTAATATATAGTATATTAAGAAATAGACCAACAAAATGAAATGAATGGTGAATAGGACAGGATCAATACAAGTAATTTTGGTCATATGAACTGGGAGCTGCTATAGCTTCCCTTAGAAGATACAGGCTCTTAAAGTTTCTTTGTTATCCTGCATAGTACGCATGTAGTGTAGGAAAGTCCACCATCATTGTCATCCACCATGTTTTGTGACATAGCAGTTTTCAAAACATAGATGCATCTCAGAGAAGTGAAAATTGGAAACATAACAGAAAATGTTTGTTAAGTGGAGTAAACATTAAGCAATTTTGCTGCCCAATATGGTCTATTGTCTGTCTTTGACATTATAAAGTATGTTGCCTGAGAAGGAAATTGGCCAACATTTGTTTACCAAAAACACAATTTATTACCACCAACAAACAGTCAGCATTACATGTCTCGATGATGTTAGTGCCAATTTACTAGTAGCAACTAGTGACAGTCGGCCAGCAAAATCATATAGTGTTTGTCCTGTTTTACTTGTTATTCCTTTACTGATAAAATTTGACATACAATTAAAAATGGGTTAACTCTTTAAGCTCCAAAAATTTATTTTTTTTCTATATACTTGGGAACTAAATTGCTTTTGCTCCTCAGGCTTAAAGGAAAACTTGTATAGCAAAACCAGTCAAACAACTTTTCCATCGGCCGATTTCATTTTGAAAGTTAAAAAAGAAAGAAAGAAAAAAAAAAAAGGTATACCAATTGTTGTAACTTTCCATCGCAATCGACCATGAGAGGGCATCAAGGAGGAAAATTCAAACTTACTTGTCTTTGTCTGAGTTAGTCTTTCTTTGTTCATCACCCCAGTCAATGTATTACAGATTAAATATAGACAATTGTTAATTAACCAGTAGTTTTTACATCAAAAAGTGCTCAACACAAAACCAATATTAGAGAAGGAATCAGCGGCTGAAGCTGGATGTTTTAAAAATTGGTATGAATGTAAATACCTTAAAAGGACACAAAAAGAAATGTTTTCAAGGGTTATAAAAACTAAAAATTTTTTATATTTATCAAATCTTAAGAAAACAAATTTCTGCTGTGTAATTTGCAAATATTTATCAAAATATTCATTTAAAAAAAAATAAGTTATTCAATATAATTCAAAATCATCATATCTGACAAGAAAGTTAAATTTTTTAGATGCTGTTTTCTCAGGAAATCAATTATTTAAATATTTATGAACTTGTAATAAGCTTACTCTTAATTTTTACCGCCACGCATTTACCATATTTGCTGCAACAATAAAGATTTTAATATAAATCGGGAATCTATTAGTTTGAATTATTAATATATCATACTTTATACATATGAATTATTGGAAGAATTATTATTAATAGAATAAATCAAAAGTCTCTATATATCTCTATATATATAAGTCTCTATATATAAGAATTATTATTATTAATAGAATGAATCAAAAGTCTCTATATATCGAATTGGCTATTATGGTCCCAAAGAGTGACTCATATCTCCAAACCTCACTCCTCTTAGTTTTTATTTGTGAGGACACTTGGAGACTGCAGGTGTACCAAGCAAAGCACAGAACAGGGATAACCTGAAACAAAATATACATGATACATGAGTATGCATTAAACTAGACCTGTTAACACACACCAATAAAAATAAAAGGAACATTCATATGTGCAGTCAGTTAGTGATGTTCACTATAAAGCACATTTTATCACTTGCAAGTGGCTGCGTAACAAAGTAACCAATTTATCTACGCATAGAGACTTATAGCTCATCCAAGCTCAAAACATTTGAATTTAATGTTTAAAGTCAATAAAATAATAATAATAATATAACAAAGTCTACTTTTCAATTTTCATAAGAATTAATACTGTTAAAGAGTTTGTGATATTCAAAATGTTTCACGTAAAAAGGAAAAATTTAATTGCATAAAACAGAAATCTGAAAATGTCAAAAAAAATAATTTTTATAAGACCAGTTAAATTGTAATAAGTAAACATTTAAAAATGAAATAATGAAAAATTATATAAATATACTTTCAAAAATATTAGAAAAATAAAAATATATCACTTGATTAATAAAACTATAAATGCAAGATTTCACACGATACATTATGAATTACTATCATCCACAGATCATAAGATTAAACAGGAATAACATATATGTATATATAGTAACAACGCAAAGATCTTTCAGAATTATTGTATTTTCACGAGTAAACTTGCAACGGCATATACCCACAGAGGTCAAACTGCAACTTATGAGCTGCATAAGCTCTTCTAGACCCTTACTACAGCTGTCATTTATTCATATTTCTTTTTATAAACTTTAGACACTATTTACACATATGTAATATTTTTGTATGTTTGTGATAATATATTTGTATGTTTTGACTATTATGTAGTGCGATATATATATGGATTGCAAGCATAATTTGCAACTTAACATTGAACTGGTTACTGAAAGCTAAAGATAGATTCATAAAGTGAAAGCAGTTAAATGAATGTTTACCTAGCCAGTCATAAACTACCAGTAAAGTAATGGTGACGTTTACTATACAACAGAGATAACTATAGTATTTTAACTGTTTATAAATACCATTCCAATAGAGTATGTATTTCTGATAGGCAATATATGGCTCTTATTGTGAAAAGTTTTGGCCATCTCTGACATACACCCTGCAAAATACTGCTAACACAAAAATAAAATCTTTGCATAGCCTTTCTCATCATATACCCCATGCCTATGAGAAAAGACATTGCTCCATAGCATAAATTCATAATTGCAATTTAAAAGCAGCATATAACCCATTCCTTTGTATAATTCATCACTCTTCTCAAATTGTCTTTTAAACATAGATATACCAAGAGTAATCCACACAAAAATACAGCATATTCACTGAAGAAATGTTTTCAGAATTATATGTATTACCATCAATAATAATATGTAAAAAGTTTTATACATAAAAGAATAAAATATTGTTACATTCATGAAAGGATAAGAGTAAAATATTCCTATTCTTTCAAGAATATTCTTTTAGAAAATAAAGGATATTACTTAAGACATATTAATATCATGTCTCCAGCAACTTTAATTAATACTTAATATATATCTGTACTAAATCTTTATATAATCTAGTATATATAGTATAATCTTTTATATTTATAACTGTGTGGACATTTTCATATCTTATCAAAAGCATTTTGATATTATAAAAATATATCGAATCAATACTAATATCAAATTCTTTCTGTATTGTTGAGTATTCAAATATATAAATTAGATATTTGATTTTGTATTCAAAAGGAATGAATTTATAATTGGTGCAATTCGTTCTGGATTATTTAAGTGAACGAAATGATTTCCTTCCACTTCAACCAACTTAAATGAGTTACATTTCGTTTTGTATATTTCAATACATTCATTCAAACTTTCTTCATCAGTGTAAACAGGTGAATCTTTAGCTTTGATTAGTAACAGATCACATTTTATATTCAAAATAACTGTTTTTACAAGTTCACTAGTTGAAAGTCCACTATCCCAAATGGATTTGATTCTAATATCATGAGAGAACTTAACTTTTCCACCATCAAGTTGCTTAACACCCCGTTTCATTAATATTTTTGCACTTTTCTCAGTTAGTTCTGCATTCTTACCTATTAAAGTACGCAATGCATTTTCTTCTGAATAAACAGAAGGATCAGATTTCAGTTTATGTTCTAATTTCACATACTGATTCATACTATTACGAAGTATTGTTGTTACAATTTCAGATGGATAACTTAAGGGTTTTAATAGTTCAATACCAATAATTTTATTCACTATTTCTGGATAAATGCTACCAAACATAATGGCTAAACCACTTCCCATACTATGTCCTAAAATTGAGAATTCTTTCCATTTGAGATAATCAGCAATAAGTTTGATATGATTTATATATTCTAAAAAGAAATAAGGGCATCCTGAAGGTTTATGACTGGATAATCCATGACCTGCAAGATCTGGAACAACAACATGTAAATTCGGAAGAAGAAGAGGCATCAAAGTATCAAACGATCCTGCATTGTCTTGCCATCCATGAAGGGCTAACAACTTTTCACCAGTCGGTGGTCCGTATTCTTTTGCTGCTAAGTAACCACAATTAATTGGAATTTGTATTTCTTTAAATAAATTTCTATCTTGAATTTTTGTTTCCTGCATAACTGTTTAGTCCAAGAAGCGAATCTGAAAGAATAAAATTTGTCAGTTCATTTACCTTTACATGAACAGACATTAACATTAATCTCTAAAACCATTTAAAAATAAACTAAGTTTTTAAACTAACTTTAAACAAATATCCACTAATTTATTCATGTAATATTTTAAAAAAGTATTACTAAAAGCTAATTACTGTTCTGAATTCTCAAAAATTGTTATTTCCAGTTTCAACAAACTGCAAGATTATTTACATAATATCTTGTTTATAATCGCCACTCTTAACGTAACTTTTTAAGAGGTCAAAACATTTCTCTTTTTAAAGCTTTTCATATGCTTTAGTTTCCTTCTTCAGAAACTTTTAATTCATTTTAAAAAACTAGTGGAACAATCAAACAGTAGTTTGACATTTAAAACTTGCTGTCTGTATCAATAATCATCAATAAAAATGACAAGTTTTAAATCTTCAAAATAGTCTAATCAATTAAAAGTTTCTGAAAATGGAATCTAAAACTTCCAAAAAGCTTTAAAAAAAAGAAATTATAAAGTAGGAGAATATAAATAAAACTAAAATTAAATATTTATAATCAACTAAAAATAACATGTATTTTATCAATGTCTGCCATATAAAAACATTTTACAAAAGAAAAAAACTAATCTAAATATAAACATTTATTAACTTGATTTTTGATTAAGGCCGAATGATTTGCTAGACTACAGTAGGATTATAAGCCTGATACTGTATTTACTTACATATAAGACAATCTCGCATATAAGACAAGGTGTGACTTTAAAGATCAAAATAAAGAAAATTAGATTTATTAATACAATTCTAATTTTATTTCGTTTAATCACAAGTAAAATATCAAATGAATGTAAATGTTCTGCATTGTTCTGCAAAAATTACTGGCATTTTAAACTGTAAGGAAAAATGTTGTAAAATCGACAACAATTTGTTCATGTAAAGCTGGACAATCAAGAACCTTTTTTGTCAATTCTTAACAGTCAAATTCCGATTTCCAAATAATCACCTGTTTTCACCTGAGAATGGATTAAAACTTATATCAGATTCCCATGTGATTTTGGAATTTCAATTCATATTTTGATTCAAAAGCTTTGATTTTCCTATTGCTATTCATCTTTACTCCTGACAATACACAAGAACAATTGAAATGACCCAGATAAAACACTTTTGTTTTTAAATACCAGAGGGTGAGCATCCGGTAAAAAATGTGAATACACAGTTTACAAAAATTATTGCAAACACGCAAAAATTCCTTCGCTCACACGTATAGGACGATCTAGGTTTATGAAGCAGTGAAAAATGAATAAAAACCTCATCTTATATGCGAGTAAATACAGTATATAGTCTGATGTAATCCTGCAGATCATTTGGCCTTAAAAAACCAATCCTTTAAATATGCAAATAACTCTTAAATACAAATAATAAAAGAAAATATAACTTTCTAATCTAAATATATAAAATTAATTTAAAAGATTATATAATTAGTTACACATTTCTATGTTTTTTCATATTTAAAGATGTTCAACTGTTGCAAACAACACAAATATTTTATATTATGAATGTATTGTTTTTTGCTTTTCACCCTTATTATTATTAAACGTATCTACTAACTTAAGGTAGTTATTTATATTAGGGCTTATCACACCAGTGAACATTTCACAACCAGTGATCAATTTCAGACCAAAAGCAGCAGCAGTTAATGCAATTTCCTAACAAGAAATACTTTGAAAATGTAAGGAGCCAATTCATTACAAGAGAATCTCCTCTTATACAAAGTTCTCCTTCATAATGATGTCTGTCTTCACATTGCAAAAGGTACTACTAAACCTCTGAAGAGCTAGAAATGGGAAAGTTTTTCCCACTCATTATACAGTCTGGACTTATCCCTATCAGATTTTTGCCTGTTTCCTCATATGAAAAAACAATTCCAGTAAGGCAATGATGTCAAACACAAGAACTGCCAATGGATAAAACATAAAACATCAAAGCCAAGTTTTGTTTGCAATGGAATGGAAGATCTGATTGTTAGACCAGATAAATGTCTCAGCAAATATGGTGACTATATTGAAAAAAGAAACACACAAATATTTACTAAATTACTCATGAATATTTTATAGATTAATAAAAAATGTTTATAATTAAATATGGAAACTTAATTTCTGATACATATTTAGACATTATAGTATATCTCAAAATTATTTGAAAATTAATGTTTATTAAAGAAACATAAAACTGATATAAAATACAACTGTTAATGAAAACTAAACTCATACAACTATACTCTGCACAGGATAAACAAAGTAGTGTGTAGCCATCGAGAAAGGGTATATGTCTACGGTAAAATATAGTACCAATGATACAAATAATCATTACATTTTTTCATGTAGCATTTATCATAAACATCATTTTGTTCATTATCCACCATTTCTATTTTGTTGTTAATTGTGATGGAAAAAGTTTCATGACTATTTTAAGCTAAGTATTTTCTATATATACAGTAATTAAACATATGCTGGAAAAGTGTTATTGACTTGCACTCTGTTCCAGTTTTTTAAGTTGGTTTTTTTGGAAATCTTTTGACTGCGATATGATCAAAAGGAAATGCAATTCTGAGAGTGAATGTTCTTCAAGAAGGCAATAATTCAGGTTCCTTTCAATGCCATTGTAAACACCTTTCAATGCATTTTTCAAGGCTAACTATTTCTGGTTATCCTGCAGTGAGTATAGCACTATAAAAATGAAGTGTTATATTGTTTGATAAGTTTTAAGAGGCAACTTAATTATTAAATAAATAAATCTCAATACACTATTAAAAAATAAATGAAATTTAAGCATACTGTCATTAATAGAAGAAGTAATTTATATTATTATGCTAAGTTGGTCGTTTATATTAACCTATTCAACGAAATAATAAAATTCTTATTTTCATTTTTATGACATTTTAATAAAATGAATACAATAGAATAAAATACCAATAAAATAAATTGATATCTAAATATTACTTGACTATTTGTACGAAACAATTTTTATATGAGTTATTTTCAGGAAAATATTATTTAAATATAAATAAAATAAATATGTAATAAAAATTTATATAGTGGCTTTCAATATAAAAATTAAATATCAAGGCTATGATAGTGCTATGAGCATTTCTTAAAACTTATATTACTTTGTTAAGAATTAAAAATTAAATATACAGTTGAAAACTTCATATTTATTTATGTATCTTTTATACTGAATGGCCTAAAAGTCAATTAACTAAAATATATTTTAAGATCATTTTATGAATAGTTAAATCAAGTGGATTCTGGGAGCAACTAAATCTTAATTTTAACCATGATTAAGCTACTTCATATATAAATAATAAGATGATACCTCTGCTAATAGTAGGGGAATCCAGGGTGGAATGGGAAAGATGATTTACACATGAAAGAGAGGTGAGGGAATTGGTTTGCTCCCTGTCCTACACTCAGACTGTGACAACACGTCAGTGTGAATACTTGGTTACTGAGATTCACTTTGTTGTTGACCAATAAAACCTTACGTCGTAATTTTTTAATGAAATTACAAGTGTATCAACATTAAAACAATGAAAGTATATGGTATATTTTATAATTTAACCAAATTTATATAGTCTACTTAATGTAGAAGACATGGTTGCTGTATCTTCAAATTCTGTGTGTAGTGTCTTTGCAATCCAAACAATAATTTTGGTAGACGATCAAACAGCAATTAGTTAGAAAATGCTACAGTCTATTTAAAACACTTTTTTAATTCAGATGCATTTTGAGTTGGCTTGTATTCCCAACCCCTCTTCAGTGCTGTTAAAATTACAAAAAACAAGGTGAGTTTCACGATATTGGTAAGTAGGACGTAACAAAGATGCGGGGTGACAATAACATAAAAAAACTTACACGTTATATAATGGTACAGAATAGACTTGTGTGACAATATTTTTATTACATAGTTGTATGACTATTTTCTATAATATGAAAAAAGTAAAGGGCGTGGCTGTTTAACACATCATTTATATGAAAAACATATAACGTAGATTATTAATTTCAAAATATCTATTTTAACTAAAAATGTAAGTGTTTATAGATATTTTGAAATTAATAATCTATGTTTTATATATATACGCAGTGGCGTGCCGTGACATTTGATGATAGGGAAGCTGTGTTTCTATAAGAAGCCGACTTCCAGGGGTAATCAGTCAGCAATGGTCTAGGGTCCATTCATATTCGTTTGTTCGATAAGCCAGTATAAACCATAGACTTCTCTAAATGTATTTTTAATTAATAGATTATCTAACGCACTTAATAAATAAGCAAGTTCAATATAATTAACTCTCTTATATTAGATTTAATAGATTCTATACGCCCTCTAAATGCCAATTCTCGCTTCGATAACATCTACTAATTAAAATATATCTATTAGCCGTAACTATCTTGTTATAATTTTCAATATTTATTTTATATTGTGTACTAATGTTAAATTCGATTCTATTTTGATTTCCAAATTGCTTCAATTTTACGAAAGATTCGATGCGAGATTTAGGATTTTCGTGTCTTTTGCCAGCTTTACTCAAATTATTTAAATCGTCAAAGCCAATCTCATTCTACACACTAATTTTATTTGAAAATAGTAGGCAAGGCCAACAAAACAAATTTTGCATTTTTATGCATCCACAAAGCCATTTTATATCTTCATAAATTTTATCATGAAAATGTCGAACAAATTTTTTCTTTTTCATTATATGGTCTCGAGCCAAAACTTTTTGAAATAAATTTTCGATATCACAATTACATTCTAAATTGCTAGCTATAATATAAGGGCTAAAATTAAAAATAAAATTATAAAAACTTACTTGTTAAAATAAAATGTGTGATGATATACAATTATACATACCTGGTACAAAATATTCAATTGTATGAATATACTTTTAAAGAAAATTATAAATATAGTTTTGTGAAGAAACGTACATAAAAATAACATAAAATAGTCTTTACTTTTTAAATATTAAAACAATCCACCTAGTTAAAATTGCTCCCTACCAGTGGCTCGTGGATGGAATCAGAGACGGTCTTGGTAGGTGTGCGGTGCGGTGCATGCTTGCCAAATCCCGAGGGTGCCGATACCGGTTAATGTCTCTTTTGTCTCATCACTAGTATATCTCAAAGGACGCGACAGGGTTGTTGTAAATTTTAAACGTTTCTCATCATAGCTGTAAAAATCTAAATTTGTTAAACTTAAAAGTCATTTGTTTTCTAACTACTGTAATTCGTTTTAAGACCAGGTGTCCACGGAAATTTCCAAAATTTACAACTTTTACTCACTTTCATTGAACTGGAAAAATTTCTGTCTTTATTACATCTAATATTACGAAGAAATCAGTCCCACTGTACTCGGCTAGATATTGGTCCGGTTAGGCTTTTGTTTAAGTAAAATTCCGGCTCTTTCATCAGGGTTTTGTTTACGTCCCCAATTCCCTAATCGCTTAATTATTTAACTACTTCTTAAGTAGAAATAAGTCGAAACCAGTTACTTTGTACTCGAATATTTGTAGTCTCGGGAAAAAAGTGGAAAGACAAATTTTTACGACAACGGATACATAAATCGTAAATTTAAGGAAAATAAATTCTAGAGCCTTTTCTGTACCTGGTGCATCTCTCTCATTCATTAAATTTAGTTGTAAATGACGCTGTCGAAGTAACGGTTAATTTTTTAACATTATACAAGAATTGTACACGTTTTTTTCTACATCCCCTTAAAGATGGGATGTACGAAATCGTAATATCACTGGTTTAACATCGAAATCCGTGAGTAATATAAAATCGGAGAGCGGAATAAATATATCAAATATTTTAATGGATTTTTTAAACTCCTGTCAACTATACAGAACTATCGTAAAAACATACCAGTAAATTCTTATCGGTTGGGTTAAGTTATAAATCTACTCGTTATTCACGTAATCGAAATATCTAGTGGGCAGGCGGCTAACAGCCCAGAACCGGTCCTTGATAGAATTGGAATCTTTATATGTGTGCAGCTTTCACCCAAGGTCGTAGGCTTCCACCGGCTAAACCGGGTGAGGTTGGTGCTCTGTAAAGCGCATGCGCAAATCTGGCTTTTCGTAATCTGAAAATACAGGAGATTCCACTCCGCAACTAATATTCTAATATACAATAGCAATTTTTTTTCCACGTGTAGTATAGAAATTTGTAATAAGATACATAATTCGGTTATAATAAAATATTGTGCGATTATTTTCATATAATTAAAATTAATATTTATTTATTTTTTAGAGAATACGAGGGAAGCGGCGCTTCCAACGCTTCTAATGATGGCACGCCACTGTATACACGTATAGGGGATAGGTAACTGCACGGCACAGTCGCGTGGTTGGCGAGATACACAGTGCATGAGTCCAAACTTGTGATATATAAAATTACATGTTGTGACTGATTCATCATCGCCCAGAGTAAACCGCTGAACCTAAAGAGGTGAAATTTGGTACACAGTTAGGGTATGAAAATGCACAATAAGAAGGGATTTTTTGAAATTCCCCCATGGGAGGAGAGGGAGAGGATAAAGGCTTAACCTGACGAACGTCTTCTATTGTACTATTTTAGATGCAATTTTTTGTTTTTATAGTAACAACTAATAGAAATAGATAAATAAATAAAACTCACGCCAAAATTGTATAGCCTTCTTGATAAAAAGCACTGAGTTCTGCGTTAATACGATTTTTCTTGTATCGCAAGTACTTTCGACGAGTACTATATCGTCGTCTTCAGGCGAAAAAAGAACAAAATTTGAATTAGAACGTGCAGAATGTTCCAAGTAGAAAACGGAAAATTTTTCTTGTCAATTTCTAAATTATAGCGTTCGGTAATTCCGTTGGTCACGTGCAACAAGCTTTTGCTGGAGTTCGAAATATTTTAAATCCACACGACTAGCAGCGCATGCGTTGAGGAGCGATCGTACTAATTGTGCGACTCTTGGCGCTTTTTGCTATTTAAACGCTGGTATAAAGTAACCCATATTTCGGGCAAGTCGAGTGTGGGGACGTTGCATGCGTCTGTGGTCATTGTAAGGAGCGCTTCCCAAATAAATGTAATTCTTCTGTTGTTACAGCTCCTGAGCAACGCTGTTTTTGACCATAACGGGTTATAGCCCTGCTGTAGAACTTTTCTGGCGAGCTCTGTGGTCTGTCTTCCTTTGTTTATATCATCTTGATGTTCTGCGATACGGCAAGCGAGCATTCTTGTCGTTGCCCCTATATACTTCTCAATTGTCCCCGTTATTGGATTTTCCAGTTGCACTGCGTATATTCCCGATTTTTCTAAAACGTCGACTTTATCCCGATCATTGCATATACTCCTGCGTAGGTTGGGTAGGGTAGTTAAAGGAAGAGTAAAGCTGTATCGCCGGAAAATACGGCTAATAAGTATGGACGGTGCTCCTAGGTACGGCAGTGCTGATTGTACTCTAGACATTTCTTTTTTGCTATGTAGTGTGGTAAACGGGAAAAGGGAATCTTTTACCCTACGTAGTACATGCGTAAATTTGGCACTTGTGAATCCAGCGTGATGTACTGCCGTTCTTACGATTTCCAGTTCGACTTTTATTAGAGCTTGCGATGAGGGAAGTAGCATCGCTCTTCTGATGAGAGCCGCTATGGCGGAATTGACATACCGCGATGGTTGAAATGCATCAGCTGGAATGATATAGGGGACTATGTTGGACTTATGATGCACCGTAAACTGCGGCCCTTCTATTGATTTCTGTATCCGCATATCCAAAAATGTTATAGATCGATCTTGCTCCTTTTCCCATGTGAAATTGATGGTGGAATGCACGCTTGAAAGTTGCTGCATAAATTGGATAAACTCCTCTTCTGAATTTTCCCATATTAGTAGAATGTCATCTACATAGCGCAAGTATAGTGATGGGTAGCACATAGCAAGCGGAACTTTGAAAATTTTTTGTTCCACGTCCCTCATAATGAGCTCGGCTAATACTGCTGAGAGAGGAGAGCCCATGGGGACTCCTTGCTTCTGTAAATATATTTTCTGGTTGAAGCGGAAATAGTTGTTTTCAGTGATAAAGATCAACGCTTCACGAATGTCTAGCACTTGTTGAACCGTAAAACCTTTTTCGAGGAGCATAGCGTTGGCTAGCATTACAGCTTCAAATACAGGAACGGATGGGTACAGGGATATCACGTCCATTTTGTAGAACATGCTGCTATTGCCATGTGCTTTTGCCATGTTGGAACTAATGATTGTTTTGGCATCCATAGAGGAAGGAGTGACATGCGGTGATTCCGGAAGTAGCTCTCGTAGAAACTTTGCAAGGGCTTTTTCTAGGTGGTAAGTGGGATGTGACCTTTTGTTTACTAATGGTCGTAGTGGCCAGTTCTCTTTATGCGTTTTTGGCTGGAAAAATAGCCTAGGGCATGCAACATTGGATGGAGGATCGAGGCGTCCTGGTAGTGTTAAGGCTATTCCTGGAAGTGCTATGATTTTCTTTGCTCTTCGCAGTACTGCTGTTGTTGGGTCGCTGTTTATCTCCACAGAGCATGATTGTAACAGAAACTCATTGGCTCTAGCGATGAAGTCATTTTCTCTGCACAAAACAAATCTTTTGTCCTTGTCCGATACTAAGAGCCTCAGATCGTTCTTGGCAAGGAATTTCGTTACTGCTTGTTGGTTTTTGCGACTATTTGGTGCATCGGAGATGTGCTTTGTTGTAGCAAGCTTTGTGATGACTTCTAACTCCATTTGCTGGTACATTGGTGCAGTCTGGCAGGCTTTTAAAGCTGCTAAGGTGGCTGGGACTAACTGGTCGAAATCCGATCTCATAGGATGTGAGATGTACTTGGGACCCCGTTCCAGTGTGTTATGTACGATTATGGGTACTTGCTCTTTTGTATAATTGTAATATGGAGTGGTTACTACTGCTGCTTTTTGCGTACGCGTCGAATTGAGTAGCCACTGGAGCTTTTTGTCCAACTTCTTTTTAATTTTCTGCGTGGAGATTGATGTTATACTTTGCACTTTGCCCAGTTGAACGTACAACGTGGAGGGGTCACATGCTTTGGAAAAATACAGATGAGCTACGTAGGTTTTTTGCTCTGCTTCTGCAAGGCACTTGCGTTTGTTTCTAATTAGCTTGGTCAAAAGAGACTGCTCTACCTTCGGAATTATCCCTCGTAAACACTCCGGAAATTTCTTGCGCTTAAGCTGTATGCACTTTGGAACTACTCTTTTTGCTCTGCATTTCAAAAGAAATTGTAATTGGGCAAGTAATCTCCAGCTGTTTGAGATATTTTAGATGGGATAAAGTCAACGTCTTAGAAAAATCGGGAATATACGCAGTGCAACTGGAAAATCCAATAACGGGGACAATTGAGAAGTATATAGGGGCAACGACAAGAATGCTCGCTTGCCGTATCGCGGAACATCAAGATGATATAAACAAAGGAAGACAGACCACAGAGCTCGCCAGAAAAGTTCTACAGCAGGGCTATAACCCGTTATGGTCAAAAACAGCGTTGCTCAGGAGCTGTAACAACAGAAGAATTACATTTATTTGGGAAGCGCTCCTTACAATGACCACAGACGCATGCAACGTCCCCACACTCGACTTGCCCGAAATATGGGTTACTTTATACCAGCGTTTAAATAGCAAAAAGCGCCAAGAGTCGCACAATTAGTACGATCGCTCCTCAACGCATGCGCTGCTAGTCGTGTGGATTTAAAATATTTCGAACTCCAGCAAAAGCTTGTTGCACGTGACCAACGGAATTACCGAACGCTATAATTTAGAAATTGACAAGAAAAATTTTCCGTTTTCTACTTGGAACATTCTGCACGTTCTAATTCAAATTTTGTTCTTTTTTCGCCTGAAGACGACGATATAGTACTCGTCGAAAGTACTTGCGATACAAGAAAAATCGTATTAACGCTGAACTCAGTGCTTTTTATCAAGAAGGCTAGTAACAACTAATGTTGAGAATCTTAGTGAAGTATTGAGAGAGGGTTATTTCTATCAAATTGCAAATTCCACGTGGGTGAAACCACAGGTAATAGCTAGTAGAACAAAGTGTAAAAACTTAGAAAAAAAAAAACAAATTTGAGCACTTTCAGACTTTTATTAATTTTCTAATGCTTAGAACATAGAACACTGCTACCATGTTAATGCATTATAAATAGCTTTGTGTTAAGGAAGTAAAGAATAAAATAAAAAAATTATGAAATTTTTTATTTCATTTTTTTACTTCCTTAACATATTTCCTTCCATATCTTCTGCTTCCTTAATAATATAGTTGATAATAATGAATTACTATGATGACTGTTCTATGTTCTAAACATTTCCTGAAAATGAACAAATGTTTGAAAGTTCTCACCTTTTTTTTTAAGTTTCTAAATTTTATGCTTCATTAAAGCAAATATTCCTATTATACAATAATATGTAGATATTCCAAACAGACTTTAATTATGTTTAATTTTAAAATACATCTGACTGATTTTTGGGCTGCATAATTAAATTTATCTCTAAACATAGCTGAAAATACTTATAAATTTATTTCCATTGCATTTATTATAAATAATACTTGTTTAAATGAAAGGCTACCAGCTTTTTATTAACAACAAAATGAGAAAATTAATCCAATTTCTAAATAAATTTGAAGGTTTATGAGGAATGTATATTAAATTATATTTTTTTTATTGTTAAATGGAATCTGAAAATATATCTGTAAAAACCTGTTAGAACAATCTATTTATAATTTCATTATTTATCTGAAATCCAAAGTTAGCGTTTCCTAGATAGCTAGATAAAAATAAAAACTGTATGTCATTGACCCAGAAAACATCAACTTTTAACACAATATTTTATAATCTTAAGAGAAAAATTGAAAGGCAAATTATAGCTGTATTTTCCATTTAAAACTGTAAAATAATGCATAAGAATGTAAAGTTTTTATGTAGAATGCAGGTATTATTTCTTTGAATTATAGTTCCAGTTTACATATGCAATTTGTTTTTTTTTTGTTTTAAGAATGTAAATTATATCTCAAAGACTGTAAAAATCTAGATTCAAAATAATTTGAAAAATACAATAATTTATTTCTATAAAGTTTATCTTATACTGGGTCTACCAAAATAAGTCATAAATCCTTCACCACAGTTAAAACTGGTCACACTTAATATAGATAACACCAAAAAAACTTGATGATATTTGTATTATCTTATAAATCAATCAGAACAAATATTTTCAGCTTTTAAAATAATTATTTTCAAATAACATTAATATATAATCCAAATAAATGTAAAACTTAAGATTTATATGATGCTTAGAAGGAAAATAAGTTTAAATTTTTATACATATTAAAATTATTATATAATAATATAACCAGAAGATTTTTTCGGATTAAAAAAGCAACAAAATAAGAAATTTTTCCTGATAGATTTTTAAAAAATTTATTTAATACAAATGGAAACGAACTGGTTTGTTCTCATTTATATTATATTTATTGTTGAGTATTTTGGTTTTAATATATTAATCCTCAGCGGTAAGATTATTGTCCTTATGCAGAGAAGTGACCTTATTAATATTGTAACTCAATAAGATTAAATTTTTACTCATCTAAATATTTTTGGTGCACAAAAAGTTTATCGTTTCCTCTACTAAACAGGAAGTGTTTATATTGTTTGCTTTAAGAGCAATTTTTTGACAACAGAACCAATGTCTCCGATGGATCTAGATCTTAGATTTGAACTAATAACGCCACTTTCAAAGTGAAAATCGTGCAACATCACTACTGTCATAATGAATGAAGCATCCAAATCTGCTGCTGTTTTCCTTGTGTAGCTTCCTGCATATTTATTTCTTACTTGTTAATATTTTTATAACTAATAATAAGCTTCCTTTTCCTTTAAGAGCCAAAAATAGAATATAAGCCACAAGATGTAAAAATATGTCGTATATACAGTTTATATTCATTCATTTTTAATATAGGAGTCACTGAACTATAAAGTAACCATACCTAAAAGTAATCCAAGATACAATTTTACATAAAATAATACAGTTTTTCAGCCTAAATTCTTAATTTGTTACGCTGTTATTACCGCAAACTTAAGATAATTTAACTCTTGTTATACAATTTTCATATTTCGAAGGGAAATGCAACTTACCCGTTTGACAGCAACGAGGACAATGTTGATAAACACGAACACAGCATGCGAACACGTTTCTTTTTGTTTATAATTTCGAATAGCGCCCTCTGTGAAATAAAAAGTATTAAAAAAATTAATAATTAATTTCAACCATTGGGCGGCGATTCGTCGGTGAGTCCGGGGCCCGCTCATAGGTGAATTTTTCGAGCCTCAGAAATCTCGCACTTTCAAATTTCAAAGAAAATTTGAATAAAAAGTTTCGCAAATATTTCGTGGCCCCACTGATATCTTTTTCCCGAGGCTCCATCCGGCCGGCACTGAGAGATTCAAAAGGAGTCTTCAGGAGGATAGCCCGACGATGGAATATTAAGCGCTAAAATAATTATTTAAAAGGAAAAAAAAAAACAGAAATATAGATTTGTTTTGCAATTAATGCAATAAACAATTGTCTAACAATTCAAGATCAAAAATACGATGGCAAATTGTCCTCCTCAGAGATAACTTGGTTTTGATCATAATCACTAATACATGACAAATGAAATTAATACAGTACTTTAATTGTAATGGCTGCATGTCACGCATCACCTCTGGGAGACCCGGAATCAAATCCGGGTGCGAGCAATCCCAGATAAATTTTTTGTGGATGGTCTGTTTCCTGTGTAAAGATTTTGAATAGTTTTTGATCGCCACCTTCCTCTTTGTACGCAATGATATAACCTGGTTTTGGCAAACTTTCTCAGTACAGTTGCGTGCATAATAGTTCATAAACCTCAGACATTGAAGAAATAACTTATAAAATATCTGCAAAACTGATAGTTTATTCGCATGACTAGATTAGACTTATAAAAACAAATTCATATGCCTCTAAAATAGTCCACGTAGAAGTACCTCGATCGCTCTTTCTTCAACGAGTACAGTGACCTACAAATTTCCAAATAGCTTTTTTAATTCGTCTCAGCCATTTTACATTCCCAGTTTGTTATCTATATAACACAGGAAAGTATTGAAATCGTATAAAAATTGACCCTCTAGGTTTTTTTGCATATATCCACGTTTTCAGAATTCTTGAACCCACAAAAGTCAAAAAAAGAGGAAAAATAACGTATTATATGATTTGGTTTATTCCTTTACAGCAACGCAATACGCGGGCAATCTGCCGAATGGGAACGGTTCCCGGAAGGACTTTCTAAAAGAATCTAGTCCCCTGTACATCGTACTTTTCCTTTAACAATAGTTATATCTCGAGTGGGGTCGGAATTAAGGTTTTATTCGTTATTAGCATTTACAATTAAAAAAAAAAAGTCCCTATTCTCAAAATTAAGGTTATTTGTCGTTTTATAATAATAAATCGTATAAAAGCTTTTTATAATAAAGTATCATAACAGATGGCGCTACATACAGTTTTTTAAATGTTGCTGGGAAAGTTAAGCAACTTGTAGCTGAATTTTTTTTTTAGATATTGTTTTTAATAAAAACTGTTATTTCTTTTCGTGTTTAAAAACATTTAATTAAAAAATCCCTACGGTTCGTCCATAAATTACGTAATCCTATTTTATGCTTTTCAACATGGGCAGATGGACCTGTGCTAGGGCCAACGAACAACAAAGGCACAATCCCACTGGTGCCTCTGGAAATTTCCCAACGTAACAATAGTTTCATTCGTCCCTACTTTCCAACATCCTCCCGTAACACTGTCACACATACCCACCCTCAAAATTACATACCGGTATCACAAATCATCGATTCCCTTAATTAACTGTATTAAGAATATACAGCATTGAGTACTTGACATTACATTATTAATTACATAAATAATTTATAATGTACAAAGCGGTGACGTAAACAGTACTGCTTAGCGTTATGTAAAATTAATTAGCGTTTTCTAACATTCGAATCAACTCAGTATAGCGAGTTGACTCTGGATACCTGATTCATTGAGGAAAAACACAAACAATTGAAACTCAATTAATGAATACAAGGCTCATTGGCTGCATTCAGCAGACAACAATTCCAGAGATGTTGAGTATTTTTCTGCTGAATGCTCTCTATAGTAGAGTTGTTTCGGAATATGTTTAGTGTTTTGATGTCACATTTAGTAGTGTCTTTCATTTACGCTACCTATCGCTAGCTACAACTGACTAATGTTGGCTGCTTCCTGTTCCAATGTATACATCAATCATCATTTGGCATATGTAACTACGTAACAGCTACAGATTGAAACATCTTTGCTCAGTTACAACTGTTGACTCTGCTGAATGTAGCCGTTGATACATCAAAACTCATGGCTCTGGATAACATATTGCAAACTTTCAGTTTATGCTGCTTTTTTTTAGATTCATAACTTAGACATGTGTTCTGCAAACCTGCCTCAAGCATTCTACAGAAAAAATAATATTTTAAAGTTTTTATTGGAAATTTATTCCAATGCACTACAATATATATTACCATATTTGTAGACAATTTTATGTTTCTATTTTATTCAATACATTATAAAGTTTTTAGTTTATTATTTCTTGATAATAATAAACATAGAATTTCTTATCAATTTTTGAATATATTAATGTTAATGCTCCATGTAATAAAAAGTAGATGAATGGTGTTCAGCAGCCTCAGAAAGATTGAGAACAACTGACAGACTAAATGAAAAATTTGCAAATATTTGCAGATGGGCAAATGAACAAATTAAATATGAAATTTAAATAGTAAAAAATTATATAAGGATGGCCAACTGTAATATTTTACTCGTGAGAAAGAACTCAGTCATCATCATCATTTAAAGTAAAGTAAGATGTAGCTGTTTACAGAAACTCTTTCAAAGCTTAATACAAAGTTTCTGTCAATGAAAGTAGCATGCAACTATTGAGTTTTGAAACAGCTGAATACAGAGCATTGACTCTATAGAAATACTACTAATTTGATTCATTGTATTGACTCATTCACTCATTGGCCAAGACTAGTACAGTCGCTACAAAACACATCAGAAATAAAAATGAATTATTGTTACCTAAGGAGACCTTAGCACCCATGTAATCCACCCCAGATCATACTGTGAACTATCGGAATGAAACTGTCAACTAAATGGCAAGTCATGCATTTATACGATACAATAAATATTTTTATAGATATTTCTCAGCTATTCCTGGACTTGTTCTAGATATGATCGATTCAGTTTGCATAAGCTCTTAAAAATGCCAAGTTATTGGCAGGCCCTCTGCTTCTTGTCGGCTTTCAGTGACTAAACTTACAAAAAGATTATCTATTCATGTTTGGTAACATCACATGATTTTAAAATCATTACATGTTTTTTTTAAAATGAAACCTCAGTGCATACAATAAAATCATTACTTGAATTTTGATTTCCTTATTCATTTTCATATTAAATTCAACAAATATCCATTTAAAATTATGAATTCCATAAAGATATGCTTAATTATTACCAAAATATTTGTATGGAAAGGATTATAAATGTACGCAATTACGCATTTGTGAAGTTTAAGCTACAAAATGTTTAACCAAGACTGCATAAATTTATTAGCATATCCAACTGTGAAGGGATCATCTCACTGTTCATTACTAATATTTTTATTGTAAATCTGTGTAATACCTCTAAAGAAATTTGGAGCCTCAAAAGTGCTTTAAAATGGCTAAGATTGTAACAATATATTATCTTGGATTTTTAATGAAATATATAATTTTATTAAACAAAAGGTCTAAACAAAATAACAAAGCTTTATAATAAATATATTCATTATTTAAATAACAATTGCAAATAAAATTACATATTTTATACTCATAAAACAGTCAATTCATTTAACACTTGCATTTAAAAATGAGAACTGCATATTTTTATAATGTATAATTAGCAATAATGATAATATATTTACATATAGAAAATAGTTATATATTTTAATACAAGGTATCTAAAAATGACTATGGATACGAAGACAACAAACCAACGATAAATTTATTAATACGCATACATTAGTGACACATTTCTTGTACAGTAAATTATTTCTAAAAAAAACAATGTAAATAATACATGCTCAAGCCATGCAATATTTTGCAACTTTACATCACATAAAATCAAACAAAACATATTGAATCAATTAAAAAAATGAAATCTAAAAGATTAAATAATGATTTCATTATTATTAAACCTTTAATCGATGATTAAGAGGAGTGTAGATGGTACTTAATTAATGGTTTAAGAGTAACCAAAAAAATAATTACAAAGCAAGTAACTAATTGTTATTAACCAGTAGTTATATATCAATATATGATCATTCTGTATAAAGAATGCATTGTATCACAGCTTGCATTTAGCCTCATTTGTTACACTGTAGTGAGAGTGTACAAACAGTATCAGACTCATACTGCCAAAAATAAAGAGATAAGATGATACTGACTGTCTCAAAGCTCAAGACAGACTCTAGTTGCTGCTCTCCTGTATGTAATAAACAACCAAATTCCAATAAACAATGTGTATGGTCCCCAATATCCACTTATAGGAAGACAATCTACTGCTCTCTGCAGATACTTCTTGGACTCAACTGCAGACACACCATGGACAAAAATATGTAGAGGTAAAGCATCATATTATAACAGTGATTTTCAACGTAGCTTTCGCAATAATTCAGGATATCACAAGATTCTGATACTCAATAATTAAAGTTTGAATAAATTTGAGTATCAAGTATATCAAACATACCAGCATACTAATTATAAGATGCTAATTTAGAAAGGTTGAAAACCACTGATCTACTTAGTCTATTAATTTAAAACAAAATGTTGGAAGAAACTATTTCACATAAAATATTCTTCTTAAAAGAAATCTGAAATTTCTCCAACTACATATTTCCAAAATTAACAAACTAGCTCAAAGGTTTTCAACTGGAGTATTGCAGCACACTTCAGGAATACTGCAAAATATAACGCTGAGTAGCATAACAACACATGTTTATTACTAAAAGTATATAAGGTGCAACAACTGTACAGAAGCAGGTGAGCTGTGTGAAAAAAATTACCAAGGGAGCCATCATTAGCAATAGATTGAAAAATACTGAACTAGTTAATGAATAAATAATATAGCAATAATTCTAGATCTATCAATAAAATAAAATACTGTTATATTGTCGTATAATCCCTGATATTTTATTTAATAGTATAATGTAAAATATCAAAAAGTTACATCAAGTAACCATTGTGATAGATAACTTAAGCTTGAAGAGAAAAAATGAAATCATTGTTATATGAAATAATTTTTTATATTTGCATTTCAAATAATTCAGATCACTGATAAAAGATCAGATTGATTTTTTCAAATTAATATCTTCCTGAAAAATTACTTTATTTCCTCAATTCTAAGATGCACTTTTTACACAGTTTTACATGTTCAAACTAGAGATTTATCTTACAATCAGTAACTGATCATCATGAGTAGGACAGGTGGTGCATTACGCACCAATAATAGAACATCGTTTAATATACAGTAAACATCAGTTCATATTTACATACAATTACTATGTAACTGAAGAAACTATCAACTTACAGAATACACCAGCAGTAATGCAAAATATAGATTGTTCTATATTGTTATATATTTACACGTAAAATAATATTCACAAGTGTTGTTTACGTTTGAAAGACTTTATAACCTGAAGACGGAGACATATGATCTCCGAAAATGCCTATTCTACAGTGTAAATATTTTACATTATTGCTGGAGTTTGGATGTATTACGTAAGTTGTCAGTTCACAATTTATTGATAACAAGCATTTAACTGAAACATCTTTCAAATGATATCATAATACAGCATTAATAGTTAATTGTATATTTAAAAGAGTATGGAAATAAAGCTATTGAATATTACCTATTGCATGACAGATTTGATAACTTATATTTCTAACTTGTTACTTGACAAAATTTAATAAAACTGGTTTATTAAAAATTTTTCCCTCCATAAAAAAATATTTTAAAATTTGATTTCAAAATCATAATGTGTCAGAGAATTGAAAAGTATAAGGTGCATTTAATACAGCTGACTAAGCAAGCCGATGACATGAGTTTGTGTATAGTCTTGGAAGTGGACAAGGCAGACCTTTGGTTTTGTTAAATTTAACTGGAGCATGGTCCAGCCATAGACTACTCTGTAGAAAAACACAAGTATACAACTGGATAAATGACCACCCAATTTTAGGTCAGACTGACAAAAGCAAGCATCTCCCAGTGATCAAAAGCTTTCTGATTGGTCAGAAGTTTCTGTAGAAAAAGAGAGATTACACTTCTATGGGAAATGTTCTCAGGTACAGGCAAAGCACTGAAATCAAATAAAGGATGTACACAGGACCAAGCCTTAGACTAGAAATTCTCAAAGAGAATCTGATTTCCAAGAGTTGTCCAGAATTGTTCCAGTCCATTAGTTTATACCAAGTTACAGCTCATGACATGCTAATTGCTGTACAGTTCTTGTAAATAAATCATACATACAAAACTAGTTTGAGTGTATAAGTGTTGTTAAATTTCTCTCCTGTCATTACCTATGTGTGTAATGATTTGTGTTATATAAACTTTTGTATTTGTATTGTGTAGCAATGCTTCGTATCATATAACGATTGTATTATTTTTTACAATAAATAAACAGCCATGACGTGGCATCTTTTATCAAGCCCACCACTTTTTGGTTTGGTACGACTTGAAACAGATCAGAGTAGTCGTGTGTGATTTTTTAAACTTACTCGTAAGGTATACTACTCACTGTCCGTGAACACAACCTCCAACAGTGATATATTTAACAAGTGTATTTCAAATGAACCTTCATTTGAACATTTTGAACTGTGCTTAATCAACTAATTGGCTTGAGGAGACAGAAGCTGGCAAGGAAACTTTCAAACAAAATAGGCAATGTCATTGGTTTGCTTATCCAGCTGTAACAAAGTTACTTCAGAATTATACTTTTAAGAATCGTTCACGTAAAATCAAGAATAATCCTAAAAATACTCTTAAAATTTAACCAGTTAAATCAAAATATTCAAAGAAAACTTTCAATTTATGCAACTGATAACAAAAGCATCTTAAATTTAAAAATTTAAATTTCATATAAATTAATTTTAATTATTGTATCTTAACAAAAACTTCTTCAATTATTAAAATATACCAGATCAATACAGTGGACATATGTGATATAAACATGTAATATCAAAATCAAAAATTTTTCGTATATTTTTGTATATTAAAATATATAAATTATATGTTTGATTTTGTATTCAAGAGGAATGAATTGATAATTGGTGCAACTCGTTCTGGATTATTTAGATGAACGAAATGATTTCCTTCCACTTGAACTAACTTGAATGATTTACATTTCGTTTTGTAAATACCCATAAATTCATTTAAACTTTCTTCATCAGTGTAAATAGGAGATTCTTTGGCTTTGATTAATAATAAATCACATTGTATATTAGAAACAATTGCTTTAAGTGCTTCTGTACATGCCAATCCACTGTCCAAAACAGATTGAATTCTAATGTCTCGCGAGAAAATCACCTTTCCAGTTTCAAGTCGTTTAATTCCACGTTTCATTAATATTTTTGCACCTTCTTCGTTGATTTCTCCATTCCTACTTTCTATTAAGATACGTAATGCTTCTTCTTCAGAATAAACGGGTGGATTGGATTTCAATTTTCCTTCTAATTTCACGTATCGATTTATATTATTCCTAAGCACTTTTGATGCAATTTCGGATGAATATGTTATGGGTTTTAATAAATCAATGCCGATAATTTTATTTACTATCTCTGGATAAATGCTACTAAATATAATGGCTAAACTGCTTCCCATACTATGTCCTAAAATTGAGAATTTTTCCCATTTGAGATAGTCGACAATAAGTTTGATATGATTTATATAATCTAAACTGTAATAAGGATATCCTAATGGCTTATGACTGGATAATCCTTGACCTGCATGATCCACTGCAACAATGTGTAAATTTGGATGAAGAAGAGGTATCAAAGTATCAAACGATCCTGCATTGTCCTGCCATCCATGAAGGGCTAACAACTTTTCACCAGTCAGTGGTCCATATTCTTTTGCTGCTAAGTATCCATAATTAATTGGAATTTGCAATTCTTTAAATGAATTTTCATTCTGAATTCTATTTTCCTGCATAGCTCGATTGGTTTGATTATAAAATCTGAAAGAATAATTGATTTTAATCACACTTAAAGATTAACAGTCTTAAAACTATTTAAAAATAAAATATAATTACATTTTTAAATTGAATTTAAATAAATACCAACTAACTTATTTATATAACATTTTACTCTTTAAACACGAAGTTGGCCAAAATTGGCTTAATCTATTAGAGAGAAAATTAGCTGAAGGGAAAGTTGTTTGACTAGTTTTGTTATACAAATTTTCCTTGTAGCCTGAGAGGTAAAAACAACTTCATCTCTGGGTGTATAGGAAGAAATTTTCAGAGCTTAGAGTTAAAACAATGTTTAATTGTCTCAAAAGTTATTTCCAGTTTTAAAAGAATGCAGGATTACTTACAAAACACTATTGTGTTATAATTAATTACAGAACTCATTTAAGAAGTTCCCATATGAAAGGTTTTCCCACATAAGAAGTCCAAACTTTCTAGTCCCAGCATTTACACCATACCTGTGTGTTAAAATTTCCTACATAATAAATTTTCCTGTGTAAGAAATTCCAAAATATCAGTCCCATTGACGACATGACAATTCATCAAGGCTCAGTACGGTGCAGTGAGATGCAATTATGAGACACCTGCACTCTGCACGGGAGACATTGAGAGAGTGCAATGTGTGCAAGTGGCTTTGTTTACTTCTTAACGAAACACAACACAGTATATATGCATGCCATAGCGATTAATATAGTGTATTACTGTTGCAACGAATAAAATGTTTCTTTTATTTACGATATTTTTTCCTTCAATTTATTTGTCCTTGTCATTGTAAAAAAGTTGGTCACCTTATGAATTTACAAGAATGAATTTTGAAAAGAAATGAGTGTGAAAAAATTAAGTGATGAAGACAAGAATGTAACAGATGAGGTGCTATAAGTCAGCTGTTCCAACCTTTTATAACTTACGTATCCCTCGGAAGCCCATTTTCCTAAGCTTTATTTTCCATTTCCACTAAGTTTCATTTCCTGTGTTTGTCAAACAGTGGTGTCTTGGTCAATTATACAGTGCTGTACAATTACATGTAAAAAAAATTTTCTTTAAATTGAAAAGCATTGGAAGAAGGACACAGTTTTAAATAATATTTATCTACGTATTCAGTGCTGTGACGTCATCAAAGGTTTCAATGCAAAATTTTGATATTCTTAAAGTACAGTACCTCTGCTATTATAAATTTTTTTCATGTACCACCAGTTGGGAATTGCTGCTCTAAGTGATACTTTCAATTCCTCTATTTTAAGACTATGAAAAAAATTAATGTAATTAAATGTTGGAGTAATTGTATAGCTTATAATAGTGTAAATACTATAATTAGATTTATGTGCATAAATTGTAATAGAATACTTGTATATAGTGAGAGTATTTGTGAAATAAATATAAAATTAAAAAACTACCATATAATTAAATGTGTTAAGTTTATAAATGTATGTATACACATTTTAGACATGCTTGTCAGTAGTTTCAATATGAAACATACATATTAATGTAGTTTTATTTGGCCAATATAACCTGACTGAAGAGGATTGTAATGAAACAGCTGAAATGCATTTTGGAATGGCCAAAAAATGTAGATGTTTGTAGTTTAATGTATAATTAGTGGAATAATAAGGAGATACAAATGAATACTGGTACTAAGAAACTAACAATTTCACTTAAAGCTTAAGTACCTAGGGGTGTTTAAGTGCACAACAAGCAATTAAGTGTGGCTGTTTACATGGGCTATTATGTGAGAATTTCTGGCACCAATAAAAAACTATTCATTAGTGATGCTAATAAACATTTGCAAAAACTGCTGCAAAATACTTGAACGAGATTCAACTTTTGGAGAAAGATTACTTATACATATGAAAGTAGGTTTAATATATTTGGAAAAGATGGGATGGGATAAAAGTATAGTGTAAACCCAATGAAGGGATAAAAACTAAACATCTATTGCCTACTGTCAAGAGGTCATCTATGTTATGGTAGCAAATGGAGCTGGAAAATTGCATTTCAATAATAGAATTATGAATAGATTTGTATGTCTGGATATACTAAACATAAATTTTTTACTTACAAGTTAGTATTGAGAAATTAGGACAATCTTCCCATTACATATTCCAGCAGGATAATATACATACTTCCCTAAATACAAGAAAAATGATCCAAAACATACTTCCCATAGTCCCCCATGTAATTGTTTGTATATCTCTTCTCATTTTTCACATTCTGTTCACGAATCTTATGGTTTCCATGTTTGCTTTTTCCATGAGTTGTGGCTTCTTGTTATTTTGTCTTGAGTTTTGCTTGAATTATTGTATTCTCTGGCCTAGTCATGCCTAGCAATGCCAGGCAATAAAAAATCTTTTAAGTTTGATAAAATATATAATGAATGATGTGTGAAAGAATGGCTATTATATAATATAAAAAGACATCAACATTGACTGCAGAGTCCCAGATCTCGATGTAATTGAGAATATTTAGGTGAAATGAAAACAACCACATAAATAAAGCATTGCTAACAAAGAAGAAAGGCAAAATATTCCACCTGAAATTACAAAAAAGCACATCTCTTCAATGGCATTAAAACTCAAGAATGTCATAGATAAGATGATCATATGTCCCTGATTTCTGGGGACCGTCCCCAGTTTGGCCTGTTTTTAATATTTGATTGTAGAATCAATCTTTGAATAGCATTTCATTAATATGCCAATATATCATCATCGATAAATAAATTTTAAAAAATAACCAAAATTCAATCAGTTTTAGACTCCATTTTCATTGATTCTGAAATGTGTCTCAGTTGAACTGTAAATGTTATGGTCAGCCTATCATAGAGATTTCTGATAGACCTATTATATGAAATATTTAAAATTTTAATAGTCTAAATAAATATGAAATAACTAATGTCATACACAGACTAAAGTCAGATAATCTGCCAAATTATCAGACTATGATTAGGCTAAGGTAATAATTATATACAGAGTAATTTGTCTAGAGGTCAAAGTTTATATAAACAGGTCTGAACACAAATGTTATGTTACTTACGGAGCCACCATTTTGAGGCTTTTTGAATGGTGCAGGTTTTAAACAAACTAGTACGAGCTGTTAGTTTTATACAACATTAAACTAAAATTACATAAAACCAGTGAGAGTCCAGTCTAATAATAATTTTGGATGATTATGCAATCACAATTTTATGTAACTTGATCAAAATGGTTTAAAATAAAGAGCATCCTTATCATTTTCTGTCTTGATTGAAACTAATCAAATTAGTAGTTACATTAGTTTTATTGTCTATGTAGGCATTTCCTAAAGTGTTGCAATAAAAAGAAAAGTCAAAGGAACCACACCTCTATATGTGATTCTAAGATATAGCCCCTGTGAAATCAGCCTATAGCCTACTTCTAGGTGCTATATGGAGTCATGCTGCGTGCTCTGCTACGCCTATCGTGAGTTTACCAAATAGCCCAGCATAGTGATCATACAAGCTAACAATATTTATTGGCAAAGAATAAAGAAAAGTCCGGCATGCAACCGTTTGCCAGATATTCACGTCTAAATGTTGAAACCCAATGGCAGCAGTTCCAGTCTCCATCTTGCTCGCAAACAAGTTAAGTTATAGGTACATGTGCCTATAACTTATGATCAGTGCCTGTAACAAATAAATGCATTAATTTCTACTGATCAAAAAATGGTATTTACCTTGAACCAGTACTACTGACTATTTTCCATGATCTGTGTCAGTCAAGGCAAATGATAGCAAGCTTTGACCAATGCTCCATATGTAGTCATGCACTTTGGTGCTTGCTATTACTCACATCTCAGTGCCCGCATAGGGGGCAAGCCCCACACCACCTAAAATGATATCATGAAGTACTCCACGAACAGTCAAGTGGGCTACTCAAAGCCAGCATAATTGCATGGCTAAATAAGGTGTGTTTCAAATTTATATGGACACGAAAAAATTAAAGTGAAACCCAAATTTGCTGCATTAAGTGACAAATTTTTTATTAAAAATAACATGGATTTACTTGTTTCCACACTGCAAAACAAGAATTTTAGTCAAACATTAACATTTTGTCACTGAAAATAATATTTTTGAAAATTTTGTACATAAAAACTGTTACATATTTATCCGGACGGGCACTCATCTCATAACTTAAATAGAATATTATTTAGTTTCAAGCATTTAAATATACAAATCAGCTTACATATCTAATTGTAATACAAATTCTTTATGTTGTTCAATGTTCTAAAATGGGTAGAACAAAGAATTTATCTGATTATGAAAAAGAGCAGATTGATGCCTATAAATCACAAGGCAAGTCAATAAGAGAAATTGAAGCATATATAAATCGTCCAAAATCAACTGTTGGTGATTATTTATCAAAAAGACGTGGCTAGGATGTACCAAAATTCAAGACAGGTTCAAAACCCAAGCTTATACCTCGAGATTGAAGACAAATCATCAAGGTTTGCTCCACAAAACAAACATCAGTAAGAAAAATAAAACAAGAATTAGACTTACCTTGTAGCAGCACAACAGTGTGGAGAGTTNAATAATAGAATTATGAATAGATTTGTATGTCTGGATATACTAAACATAAATTTTTTACTTACAAGTTAGTATTGAGAAATTAGGACAATCTTCCCATTACATATTCCAGCAGGATAATATACATACTTCCCTAAATACAAGAAAAATGATCCAAAACATACTTCCCATAGTCCCCCATGTAATTGTTTGTATATCTCTTCTCATTTTTCACATTCTGTTCACGAATCTTATGGTTTCCATGTTTGCTTTTTCCATGAGTTGTGGCTTCTTGTTATTTTGTCTTGAGTTTTGCTTGAATTATTGTATTCTCTGGCCTAGTCATGCCTAGCAATGCCAGGCAATAAAAAATCTTTTAAGTTTGATAAAATATATAATGAATGATGTGTGAAAGAATGGCTATTATATAATATAAAAAGACATCAACATTGACTGCAGAGTCCCAGATCTCGATGTAATTGAGAATATTTAGGTGAAATGAAAACAACCACATAAATAAAGCATTGCTAACAAAGAAGAAAGGCAAAATATTCCACCTGAAATTACAAAAAAGCACATCTCTTCAATGGCATTAAAACTCAAGAATGTCATAGATAAGATGATCATATGTCCCTGATTTCTGGGGACCGTCCCCAGTTTGGCCTGTTTTTAATATTTGATTGTAGAATCAATCTTTGAATAGCATTTCATTAATATGCCAATATATCATCATCGATAAATAAATTTTAAAAAATATTATTTTCAGTGACAAAACGTTAATGTTTGATTAAAATTCTTATTTTGCAGTGTGGAAACAAGTAAATTCATGTTATTTTTAATAAAACATTCGTCACTTAATGCAGCAAATTTGGGTTTCACTTTAATTTTTTCGTGTCCGTATAAATTTGAAACAAACCTTAGTTAAACGTAATAGTCTTAGCAGAGCAACTCCCAATCATGTGCAACCAATTTTGGGAGGTTTTATCTTACAAAGGATCACATGTAGAGGTATGGTTCCTTTGATTTTTTTACTCCTATGGGCATGCTGTATGGCTCTGTTAAGGTCTCAACAGTGTCATTCACATTTGCAATTGTATCCAGTTTAGAATGTTCAGTTTGCTGTCATTTGTCTCTTCTGCAGTTCTACACCCATCTTGCTTTTCTTTGCTTATCTGCAGGAAATCTAAATAATCTAACATTCAAAGATTTACTTTTACAATTTGAGCGACACAATAACCCATTCTTTCACTTTATGAGCAGTTAAAAATAATCGACTCACACAAGAACCTCATGTAGGGTATACTCTATCATTAAGCCCCAAAATGGATGCCATCGCAAAGAATAATGGGATTGTGTTAAGACCTTGCTAGAAATAGGTTGGTTTATATAAACCTTGCCTTCGTTCCCATTAACTTGCATTTCCCACCCACTTTTGTCTCCGAACCCTGCAGACAATAATGACAAGATCATAAGAAAATGTGTTTTAACTTCACTCTGAAAATTTCTTTTTCCTACGTACCTGGAGATGAAATTATTTTCACTCTTTGGGCTACAAGAAAAACACGTACAGCAAAACCAGTCAAACAACTTTTCCTTCAGCCGATTTCATCATTAGAGTTAATCATGCACGTCATAGATTTGGCCAGGCTCGTAATTGACCGGGCGCCAAGGGATGGATTAGACTACCCACGAAAAATTTCCAAGTCATTAACCCCAATCTGATTCCGGGCCTATACAGACAAAACACAAGACCGGGCAGCGCCTTAACTACCTCGTTTGTATGTTTACTTTCGCTTTGATTTTTTTCATATTGGTGTTTTATCCGCATTGCGCTCAGACTGTGTCATTCTGAAAGTTGGCAAATGTAGTCAATAAAATCACAATATAAAACAATAGAAAAGTCAACAACAAAATAACAGGAGTCAAAGACATGTTAAATGTATACAAACACATTCAATTAACATGTCTTTTTTACAGAATATGAAGTGAATAAAATATAAATATCCTATTATTTCCAGGAACATGTCTATTACGTCAAGCAGTGGTTTTTCGTAGAATTTTTTAAATCTTTATAATTTTAATTGCCAGTGTGCTTCGAAATGATTAAAATAACTTAAATATAAGGCTTATTTTTAAACAATTACCAAATATAATTTAAACGATATACCTGTAGCTCGAGCGATTGGAAATTTGAAAGAAAAATATAATTATAATTTACCTGTTTCGTAACAATGACGATAACGTCGGTAATTTACGAAGTTTAAGCGTGCAATTTCTCCACATGTTTACTTGAGATTGCGTCCTCTATGAAGCAAGATTGTAACTAACAAAATGTTATTATTATTATTTTTTTTTCAATTAAGGACAAAATTTCTATATTGAAAAGTTTCTTGCATGTATTATTTAATTACAAAAAATTACTTAGTTAATACGACTAATAAACAGACTTATTACAATCTGTGTGTATAATAATCGTGTCCATTAGTCATAGTGACTAAGTAGTTTTTTTTGTAACAAAAATTATATTTTGTTCTTACATTCTAAAAACGGATGAAAATTTTATTTATTTATTAATGTTATAATAAAAAAGTATGTTTTTTTCCTTTCGTAAAATACCCGTTTCCGACGTATTATTTTAATTTTCAATCGATTAACTCCATCTATTGGCACTCGGTTAAACTATCTACGAAAATAAATGTAGGAAAATTATTCCCGATAGGGCGGCGATTCGATCATTAAGTAGGCTCAAGGTCTACAAACATAAGGTCGAGACACGTTACCTGGAGTGGCGTGCTTTCATTGAAAGCGGTGGATGCGCCGCTTCCATTGTATTTTCTAAAAAATAAATACATATTAATTTTAATTATACGAAAATAATCGTACAATATTTTATTATAATCGCATTACGTATATTATTACAAATTTCTATACTACACGTGAAAAAAATAAGATCACTATTGTATATTCGAATATTAGTGGCAGAGTGGAAGCGCTGTATTGTCAGCATCCAAAAAGCCAGATACGCGCACGCGCTTTACGGAGCATCAACCTCACCCGGTTTAGCCGGCGGAAGCCTAGGACCTCGGGTAGAAATGGATGCGTTATACGTGTAGAATTCTACCCGGGACCGATTCCGGGACGTTAGCCGCCCGCCCGCTAGATATTTGGCCGCCCTCGCCCGATTACGCGAATCGCGAGTAGATTTACAAGTATAACTTAACCCAACCGATAAGAATTTACTGGTATGTTTTTACGATAGTTCTGTATAGTTGACGGGAGTTAAAAAAAACCCCATTAAAATATTTTTTAATTCCGCTCTCCAATCTTATATTACTCACGGATTTCAATGTTAAACCGGTTATGTTACGATTTCTTATATCCCATCTCTAAGGGGATGTAGAAAAAAACGTGTACAATTCTTGTACAATGTTAAAAAATTAACTGTTAATTTGACAGCATCATTTACAACTAAATTTAACGAACGAGAGAGATGAACGAGGTACAGAAAAGGCCCTAGAATGTATTTTCCTTAAATTTACGATTTATGTATCCGTTTGTCATAAAAATTTCTCTTTCCACTTTTTCCTACAAATATTCGAGTACGAAGTAACCGGTTTCGACTTATTTCTGCTTAAGAAGTAGTTAAATAATTAAGCGATTAGAAAATTGGGGACGTAAACAAAACCCCGACGAAAGAGCCGAAATTTTACTTAAACAAAAGTCTAACCGGACCAATCTGTAGCCGAGTACAGTGGGACCGATTTCTTCGAAATATTAGATGCAATAAAGACAGACATTTTTCCAGTTCGACCAGAGTGACCGAAAAGTCGTAAATTTTGGAAATTTCCGTGGACGACACCCGGTCCTAAAACGAATTAATTAGAAAACAAACGACGGACAATCTATTAAGTTTAACATATTTAGACTTTTACAATTATGGTGAGAAACGTTTAAAATTTACAAGAACTCTGTCACGTCTTTTGAGGTATATTAGTGATGCGAATAAACATGCATTTGAAATTGACCGGTATGGGCACCCTCGGGATTTGGTAGCCCGCGTGCACGTACGCACCGCACACCTAGCGGGACCGTCTCCGATTCCACTCGTAGGGAGCTATTTGACTAAGTGGTTAAGATTTAAAGAGTAAAGAATATTTTATGTTATTTTTATGTACTGTACGTTTCATTACAAAGCTATATTTAATTAAAATTTTCTTTAAAACTATATTCGTACAATTGTAGAATGTTTTGTACCGGGTATGTATATCCACCACACATTTTATTTCACCGAGTAAGCTTTTATAATTTTATTTTAAATTTTAGCCCTTATATCGTGGCTAGCGATTCGGAATGTTATTGCGATATTGAAGATTTATTTTAAAAAAGTTTTGGCTCGAGACCGTATAATGAAAAAGGAAACATTATTAAAAGAGAAA